AGATGGGGGGTTGATGTCATGCCAGGGAAGCTTCGTCTCAGCAGGTGGAAAAGTGATGTATATATATATATGTATATCCTTTGTATGTGTATCATGTTTAATGTGTTTTTCCAGATCATTGTATGCGGTTCTTGTTTAAGTGGTTGTATTCTACCTCCGCCTTTCTTCATCACACCCAACTTGTTTTCACCACTCGGTCTCACTCCCTTCACTGGCCAGCCTGAACTTTAAGCCCCAATACTTGACTTCCGTTCCCGACCTTGATTCTCATTTCCTTCGACCTTGCGCTTGAATAAAGGAATGAGGAGCGGCTATGTATGAGGAACGGCTAACGTCAGTATATCTGAGCACTGCTTTAATGATTCCATGCGTTTTTCCTTTTGCTATTTCTATTGAGGTTTGCTCTATAGAAGCTTGTCCCCAAGCAAGCTGATCAGGATACAAAGCTTCGTTTCAGGTTTCCTTATGGCTGTTTGTGGCCGTCTTCGCTCCATTTTTGTGGTTTGCGACAATCCCCGGTCTCAACGCACATACACGATTTGTAATTGTAACGAAAACCTACCATCAGGCAGGGGCCACATTTGTTGCCACACGTATTTGCCGCACTCCCATGCAAAAAACGGCACTTTGCATCCTATCTCACCGGTGGGTGGGCCAATGATTTCTTCCGCAGAAGCTTGGGTAGAGTTTTACCTCTGAAGTTTCTTCGCATGTCTAGGCAAATGTTGCATTGATTAAACTCTTTACAACATTAAGTTTGTGAAGTTGTTCACGGCACTGAACAGTGCCAGGCTCATCAAAGTGGCAAACAGCTGGTCGCTGAGGCCAAGCTCATAGGATCCATATGGTGAAGCAGTGAAGTAGGCACTGATGGCTACATTTGAGGCTGATGGCCTTGCCAAGGGCAACGTGGGACACGCACAGGCACGGCCTCGAGCTGGCTCAAAAATGGACCAGGAGCAGGCGCACCTAGATATATAATTTCAGTATATTTCAGATCCAGTCAATGAGTTTCAAGGTTTGCTTATATAGGTCCTCAGCTGGCGTTTTGAGGTGCAAGAAGAGGAACAAGAGGAGGAACAGGAGCAGGAACAAGAGGAGGAGCAGGAGCAAGAGGAAGAGATAGAGCGTGAGGATGAAGAGGTCGGGTCTTGACAAACCAACTTGGGAGGGCACTGGCCACCTTTCAAAGTTTCAAGGAGACTGCTGCTGAGCAGAAGTACTCCAGAGAAGACGAGGGTGTGCTGCTATTTGTTGTGACTGACACTGCGACGGACTTTGCAAATTGGCAACATTGGAGCAGCGCAGCCAGCTATCACAATATGCAAGGCATTGTTGAGAGGAGATCGTGCAAAAAGTCAGACCTCCCGATTGTGCATGGAAGCGTCCCAATTCCTCTTCATTGCTGGAAGGTGAAACACCATGGAGTCCAGATCTTCTCTCTCGAGAGCCCAAATTTCTGGATAGCAGCTGTCCTTTTTACGCTTGTTGTCGGGCCCTTATCAATGTGTAGTTAGGGTGAGGAATTGGTGAGGAATTGGAGCCGAAAGAAGATTTATTCTTGCCACCACCTTTCGTTTTGCGACCATTTTCCGCTCTTCCCTATGTTGTTGAACTAGGACGAACAGCACCTTGCAGCAGCTTTTGTTTGCCAAATTGATCAGATTGTGTGTGTGTCAATGTTCAAATTGAAGCAGGGCAGACAATACTGAATTTATATATATATATATATTATATACATGTATAAGTTGTAGATACTCATAGTAGGAAGGTCAAAAGTTTCGATTATGATTATATAAACAAATGAAAACAAATAATCAGCATTGTATGACATGTTTTATATAAACGTCTCAAAGGCAATCTCTTAAACGAATCGGATTGAGATGTTGGATTCTTGAACACCCCCTATCAGTTTGGCCCTACTTCCTCCGGTACTAACTGCCTTTCAAAGAAGCCTTCTGGCAATTCCCCAAAATAGGGTATCCACTAAACTTATTCACCAAAATGCCGCGCAAGATTAAAATTTATCACCTCTCTTCCCTTTCTTCCCTCTCGTACAATTTTCACCAAGCCCTCATCCTATGGTCTTGTTGCCAACTCATTTCTTCTTCACCTTCTTAAACTACTATGAACTCCCAAGAAGCCTGCTGCTCATGCTGGCCCGTTGTTGGCTCAGGGCGGGGCATCGCTTGTGTGTCGGGTTTTGGATCGCTTGTGACGTGAGCGCAAACATGTACAGCGATGGGTTTGACGCAACGGTTAGGTGCCACAATTTTCTACCATTACGTATAGAACTTAACCTGGCCATGGGAAAATCATTCCATTAATTATCCCACCCCTCCACCTCCCCCCGACCTACACACACTTAAGATTTTGCGTACTGATTTGGTTGCGGTTTGCCACACGCCGGCCTAAGTGAAAAACCTAAGGTTCCAGGTGAGCTGTAAGAGTCCTCAACGTCTCAAAAAGTTCTCAAAACCTTCCAAAGGTTCTAAAGGTTCCAAATTGGTAATGCCCGAATCCGAAACGCGGCGACAAGCTGAAGGCGTTCGTGCATGACTGCAGAACGCATTAACACTTTACACGGCCTGAGAAACCTGCAAAACAGCCTGGGTCAGGGCGGACCACTGGAGTCATGGTGTTTGAGGCAGGTACGCTGGGCCTAGTATCACCAGGAAAGTGAGAGTGTCTTCGTTGGTGGCAGACTCTCGTTTCTGCTGCCACCCCCTGCATAAAACTTCAAACGGCCACGAAACACATTCCAACAGGAACCTTGTGACTCCAAAGGTTACACACACACACACACGCCTAAGGTCAGGGCAAAGTGTAAGTGCGCACGCAACAAGACAAAAGAATGAAGACATGAAAAGGGAGACCAGACGGGACAAAGGTGTGTGTGGTTGCGAAGAAAGGGAACCAAGTGCACAGGGACAACCAATGAAACCCGCCTCATTATAAAGATCTGGGCGACCTGAAACCTAGGTTGAAGTAGGTTGCGCGCGTACACACTAAGGCCGGGACCCATGTGCGTGCAAACGAAAGAAAGGATGAGATGACCAGACATGAAGACAGGAGGACATGAAAGAAAAGGAAACAGATGTGTGCAAAGGGGGAAAAGGATGAAAAGGGGAACCAAATGGAGGGGACGAGAACTCATGAAGCCAAACATCATTAGAAACACCTGGGCAAAGCTCGTTTACTTGTAGACGCGGTATGTGCACCTAAGGTTACGACAGGTTCCAATGAACCTTCAAAGTACTTTGACCGCTGTGGTCACCTTGCGCCGTGCCAAAACGGCTGGCTGCTTTGACCGCTCCGGTCACGTAAAGGCATAAAGCCACCTTGGAGTTCAATACTTCAGCAAGTCTTGGCAAATAACTTTGGCATAAGCCTCCTACGCTCGCTGCGAGCTGCTTTGTATCCGGGCAGGGGATACATTCGACAAACCCCCGTTCAACGGGTCCACAGGGGCCACTCTGCGGGGTCACCCTGCAGTGAAGCCAGACACACTGAATATTTTGCGTACTGATTTGGTTGCGGCTTGCCACACGCCGGCCTAAGTGAAAAGCCTAAGGTTCCAGGTGAGTTGTAGAAGTCCTCAGCGTCTCAAAAAGTTCTCAAAACCTTCCAAAGGTTCTAAAGGCTCCAAATTGGCAACGCCCGAATCCGAAACGCGGCGACAAGCTGAAGGCGTTCGTGCATGACTGCAGAATGCATTAACACTTTACAGCGCCTGAGAAACCTGCAAAACAGCCTGGGTCAGGGCGGACCACTGGAGTCATGGTGTTTGAGGCAGGTACGCTGGGCCTAGTATCACCAGGAAAGTGAGAGTGTCTTCGTTGGTGGCAGACTCTCGTTTCTGCTGCCACCCCCTGCATAAAACTTCAAACGGCCACGAAACACATTCCACCAGGAACCTTGTGACTCCAAAGGTTACACGCACACACACTTTGACAATGGGCTTTCAGTTAACTCAGTTCCCCGGTCGAAAATGGTGATGGAACCGCAAGGTGAAAGGGTCAGCGCACTTGTATTGTTTGAACAATCTGTTGACATGTCTGCGGTGGCGAGACTCAGCGCGACTCAACTGCAGGAAACGCGACAAAGCAAAGGTTTAAGGGAGGTATCATGTGAACAACCATGAATCAAACCGTGGAGAAGTAGGGTGACAGCTTGTGGAAACAGTTCAGCAGGTACACACTGAGACGTCTCTCAGTGCTGCCCGTGCGTCAGGTAGCTTCGTTGGACATGGTCCCTGGGTCCCTGAACGCACGCCATGTCCCCCTGCTTGAAACAGTTGAAACTCTTAGATACAGAGTGTAACACACACAGAGCGCCGATATCGGCGCTCTGGAGGAACTTACTAACCACCTCGTTAGGAGGCCCACTAGTTACGAAACCTGCTAGTTACTGAATACTTAGCCGCGTGAATTAAGTGCACTAGTGAGCGAGCGGGACATTATTCTTAAACCGCTCGGGTAGCTAGGACTAGGACAGGAGAAACAGAAGGAAAGGCACCGACACACAAGTGTGTCGAGTACCATTTCCTTCTGTTACCCTAGATAGCAGGTGGGATAACAGTACGCATTCGGTTGCAAGTTGGGGGGGGGTGCGTGGAAGAGTGTGTGTGTGTGTGTGACATATATATGACCGTAAGCCCGGCGGCGTGGAAGTTCGGTCGCAATTCCGGAGGCCCGGCGGCTTAGGTTTTTGGGAATACTGTGGTGAAACGAAAGTCCGTTAAGATAATCCAACGAGTGCAGAACGCGGAAAAAATCAGTGAGTGGTACTCCAGTATGAGACGGCGCCCCTGTGACGGGGATCACACTGTGCATCCAAGTGGGACGGCGCAGCGGCACACACTTTGACAATGGGTTTTCAGTTAACTCAGTTCCCCGGTCGAAAATGGTGATGGAACCGCAAGGTGAAAGGGTCAGCACACTTGTATTGTTTGAACAATCTGTTGACATGTCTGCGGTGGCGAGACTCAGCGCGACTCAGCTGCAGGAAACGCGGCAAAGGAAAGGTTTAAGGGAGGTATCATGTGAACAACCATGAATCAAACCGTGGAGAAGTTTGTGGAAACAGTTCAGCAGGTACACACCGAGACGTCTCTCAGTGCTTCCGGTGTGTCAGGTAGCTTCGTTGGACATGGTCCCTGAACGCACGCCATGTCCCCCTGCTTGAAACAGTTGAGAGGTAGAAACTCTTAGATACAGAGTGTGACACACACACGACTCCCAACTTATCAGATTTGTCATCGAAAAAGCCCCTTAGATCACAAAGAAGTGGCCATCCTTATATCACAGAGAACTGTGTGTATCGGCTGCGCGCAGATGTAAGACGTGGTGATATAGCACCATCTATGCGTAAGTGAGCCTCGATGCGCAAGTGATCCAATTGTCGATGCGTACGTGATCCCTTTGCCGTTGGTTCATGCCTTTGGCAAGGTGCCCAATCAATGAGATTTGATAAGGATAGGCTGTTCGAGCCAATGGTGTTACATATTTTGATCCCATTTGGCCAGCCAATGCAAGTTTTTTTCCTAATCTATTCCCTTCCTTTCTCAGCATCCATGACCCTGTGAGCTCTCGTGGCCCTCATTGACAACCTTACGGGGCAATTCCTCCGGTTTATTTAGTTCAGTGCCCTTCTCCAAGCTCCTTTTGGCTCCTCTCATATTGCAGCTTTTGGGATGCCTTCAGATTCTTATCATCATGTTCCTTCATTTGTTTCATCCCGGTTTTTTTCACATTGTGTTTTAATGCTTTAGCTAATTTGTTCAATCAGCCAATTCTTGCTGACCTCCAGTGCTACCACCTCCTCCGTCATGCATGATGCGACAAAGCCGCCACATTGATTCCTCCCCATCCCCTGCCTAGTGGCAACATTCTTCCTGTTGGGTGATGGTGATGGGAAATTGAGCATAGACTCACCTATCAGTCCGCATTGTAGGAAATCACCCAATATGTTCTCAATCGCTGATCTGCAAGTCTCAGATTCCTACATAATGCCTACTCTTGCAGCAACAGATGGATGTCAAGCACCATCTTTGCATGGCCAATATGATCGATTTCACCACCATGCTGATCATGCAAGAGAGTCCTTGTTGTCAATGACATGTATTCCGGTCTACCCAATTAATGCCAATTAGCACCTGAAATGGACCAAATTCTTTGTCATTTGCTGCAATTTGAATGCAAAGCCATCTCAAGACCATGGTTTGATCTCCCACCCCATCAGTCTTCATTGATCCTTGGTGATCACTTCAAATTTTCAGCATCTCCGTTTGTCAATGCCAACTCCAGCTCTTCACTCATCAGGCCTCGATCAAACAATAGTTCATGCTTCATGAACTTTGAGTGCTCTTCCTGAGGCCATCTCCATACTTTTTCATCACCCTGCATTTTGGCCAAATACGCTCTCTTCACACATTAGGGTGCCAATTGGTCCTTGTTGTTTTTCCTTGAAAGAGCTTTGCACCTCTTTCTCAGCTACAGTAAACACGTCACCTTGATACCTATACATGCTAATGCCTGCCTGCCCATTTGCCTCGCATAATGGTGCAGACCCCATAGCTGGACAAAGTTGAAATATAACTGGGGAGGATCCCCTAGTGATCCCGCCCCGTCATTTTGCTTTTACTTTTCAATGAAAGGCTTATAGGGCAGCTCGTGCTGGAGGTTGCCACAAGGATTGTTAAAACATGTATGTTATTTTTGTTTGCTCATCATCAGCACTTCATTGCTTCCATTCTTGCCTTGACCGCAAAGATGGCTGCGTGTGATGTTCTAGATTTAGAGATTCGTGTAGGCTTAACTATATAAATAGCACTTACTTACTGTATCTGAGTAATCCGTACTTAGCTGAGTAGCCCCTCCAAAACAAATTATTGCTCCCCCCACTCCCAAGCAACATTAAATTCGACCCCCTTTGTGAAATTATCATTTTAAGGCCGTTCTTTTAGTATGCTTTTCTTTACTGTAAATGCTTTCATTTGATATGTTTCTATCTATACAGCAAAGGTTATTATTTTTTAATAGCGGTTTTATCTATATTTTGGACCGTTTTGAACAACACTTGAAAATGTGAGTCTTTGAACACGTGGAAAAACTGATTCCTCCACAGCATTCATTTCTGTTTTTTCTCTCTCTCTCTCTCTCTCGCGCACACAAATATAATGCAACATTGGCATAACTTCACCGATCCTTCCGCAAATGCCGGGGATTCTTGGCCCGGAGACAAGCTGCCTCAACAGCTTCTATCATTTTGTTGGGCTTCGTTTTTGGGATCGGCACTTCATCAGAGCAGACCGTGTTGCACTCTGTATGTGTTTGATGTTTGGTGTTCTTTGGCCTTTCCGCTCTCAGAGACATGGTGATCAGTCACAGGTGATGGACTGTCAGTCTTCAACGGCAAGTTGCTCCAGGCAACGAGATGGCTGAGTGGTTGTGGAAAAGACAACAATTCAAGGGATGTCACTACGCTTGAGACATGACGTCCTTTCTGCCACGTCTTCCTGTCTTGCACAAGGCGCAGAAGTGCCTGGGCTTTCCTGCCTGGTTTTTGGCATCGCAGTGGGGCTGGCTGTCTTTGCTGAAGAGTAAGCATACAGTGCAGCAGGGCCCGCGCACCAGCAACGCTAACTCAATACACACTTAACCACAACCTGCCAGAGAGCAAGCAGAGCATGTTTAGGGTTACTGTAACAACAACCTGCCAGGAACTACTTTCGACAGAAGTGGCGACTAAAAACTGTGAAGCACTCAGCAAGTCACGAGGTGCTGTTGGACTCATTGTACTCTTCCACTCCAGGTCCGAAGATTGAAGAATTGCATCATGCTGATTGAATGGGTACCAGCCTGAGTTATATATGTCGCTCATCGGTTAGCCTTTCGTTATTTCATGCACACTACTTACTTAATCATCAGTTTGTTGTCAGTCCCTCAGGCACCTGGAGGCCGCACAAAGCACATGTGGCAGAACCTTCAGGCTTGCGGCAACTGTTGATTCGTTGCCGAAAAAGCTGATCAGCGCAGAATAAAGGTTGGCTGCTTGCTTTCCGGTACTCAGAGGGGCGTACAGACTAGACAATAATAAATTCAAGGTCCACGAGTGTGAGCAACAGTGGCAACAAATCAGCACCACGGCATGCTGTGAATGTAAACCTTGCTGTTGGACCTGGTCACTGTATTTCTCAGTTGTTTTTCCAATTTGTGGTGAAGCTGTCCTTGGATGGAGTCAAAGATGCTTGACTTATGGTAGGGAGTGCCAGATCTGAGCTGGAAGGCATGTCTCACGTGTGCATGGACGTTATTTGACCAACACAGCAACAGTTTTATCCCTTGCAATCCCACGTGCAAGCTGGTCAGGAAGTTTCAGTAGAGGTATTCGGTATGCTCCAAAGGTTTTCTTGGGCATGTGTGATGGGAGGGCATGGTATTCACAGCTATGAAGCATGTACTGCCCTGGGACTACTCCAAGCAAAACGAAGGAAGGCACTGATACTTTATTTAGAAAAGAAACACATGGAAGGTAAGGGCCTCCTTAATAGTCCCTGTTTTTCTTTGTTTTCTTCCAATATTTTGTGCTTTGGATATGTTCGAACGCGACAACTTTATCATTGTTTTTGCGTTTGTTTGCAGGACTGCTCAACATTGAACTAGTTTAATGTTGAGCCGCAAGCGCCAGATTTTGGATGTCGTGCTCTTTGAGACAGAAACAGATGGCCATGAGAGCATCCGATTAGAGGAATGTTACGTAGTAGTACTGGCACTTTTGCTGTGGAAACCCTTCTTCCCCAGATTGTCAGTGTTTGGCAAAGCCAAACATAGTCACCGCACAACATGTTCGGTATCGTCTATTGCTGGGTTGTACTTTGATTCCTGCTGCCTGGAGTGAGACTCCACCGACTTCACAGGGCGTCGCCCCAGAAGATGCACTTCAAGCTGCAATACGAGCTTGCGAGCTCGAGGGAACTGAGGACAGCCAAAGCTCCGTTTGTCAGTCGGTAGAGATTTGGCATTATCCATTTTGCTGAAGCCTCCCTTTATGTTTCCAGGACTTGACTGAAGCACAAGCAAAGTCTTTGCTGGAGTGTAACGGGCTTTATCAGGTCCTATGACTTGCAATGTGAAGCAACCATTGCTAGAAAGCCTGAGGTATACACGTGTCGACTGCCGGATTGGGTGAAGGTCAATTCAACCTGCCAAGGAGATGATGTTTGCATTTGCTTGGAACTATATATATATACATATTATATATAGGTTTGAGCGGACATCATGTGTGAAATATGAGTATGTGGAGATGGATTGACCCTAAAGGACAGTATGTATATTATATGCATATATGTTTGCAGATTACTGACAGATGAGAGGTCAAGAATAGCTTCAACACTTGATAGTTGTTGTTCAGGAGTGTGAGTGAGCTGCGACGTGTGGTGGCTGCAGAATCTCCAGCGTGGCAGCCTTTCCTTTTCATTGCAGTTGCACATGGTTGCCCTGTTTGCACGAGTCTCACTCACACATCAGCCACAGTTGCAGAGGTGCTTTTCCTTAATAGATTGATAAATGTGGTGCTTTTGAGTTTCAATGCCATCTAAGACTAAGATTTGATAAGTGCAACTGATAAGTGTTGCTTTTAAGTGTCGCCTCAGGTGTCCTGTCCAACCTGGACGCTTCTTTTGTTTGGTGTCCCTCGTTGAAGCTGAGCAGCTCGGACAGAACTAAACTAAGGTTTTTATCTATGGAGTTCATGTTCATGTTTTGACTTGTCCTTTTAAAGGGAGGTGGGGTGATAGGCCGGGAAAAGGTAAATGCTAGCCTAAGTAGGCTACTGCCCACAACAGGGCTCGAGCAAAGTTCTTCAAGGAAACTTCTTCCTCCCTTCTCCCACCTGGGGGCGGGAAAAGTGTTCTTAAGTTGTAGAAACCTACACACATGGTCGAAACGGTTCCAAGACTTCCAGGTAAGCTATCACTACTTGGGTATTGGTATTGGCTTTGAAATTTAACCGATCAATCAATCAATCAATCAATCATTTTTTTGATTTTGCTGTTAGAACCCCAGGGACCCAAGGTTAGCTTAAGAAAACACAGTGACCAGACGGGCTGAAATCATAGAAAGAACTCCACAAATAGTCAAACAAGCTCAAAACAGACAACTCAAATCCCAAACACACTCAACAGCAAAGCTCCACACAAACTTAAAGAACTCAAATTAGACTCCAATCAGGCCAAAAGAAACTCAACAACTACTCAAGAAGCAAGTTTGAAGCAAGTTGTGTCTTTCTTTGAGGCTTGTTTTCATGAGTTCTTCTCAATTCTACGCAAAGACTTGCTGTTTTTACTTGTTCCTCAAGTTTCTCTTGCGGTTTTCCTTGTGTCTTTCTTATTTTTCCTTGTGTTTTTTGCTGAGTCTAGTTTGAGTCTCTCATTTGAGTTGCTCTGGAATCTGAGTTTCTTGTTTGAGTCATTTTTCAGTAGGTTGCCGAGTTTTAACTTTATCATGTTGATCCCTTGCTGTCTGGAACCGTGCATGCATAAATCTTCCCATCGTGCCAGCAACGATAGTTAGTTTGTCATGCATGCGCACATCACGTGTATGCACTCAGAACAGTTTGCAGGAAGATGTCAAAGTGAAACAGGCTACCCAGAAGGGCAGCCACTGCGAAAGGCTGAGAAGAATAGTGACAAGTGAAGACCATTTTGCATGCTGCCCACGTATACAGCATGCATTGTAGATAAAGCATGATAAAGCCAGAACAAGCACCCAGCCAGCAGACCCACTACAATACTACAACACCAGCCGCCATAAACCCCATTTTGGCAAGAACGTCACAATTTCCTGCAACCACATGCGGGATGTGGGAAGCACACCATTTGTCCAATGAACGGATGCAGGCCAAGTATCCCCCTTCGGGATGCAATTGAGAAGAAATATAGCCGGCCTACATCAACGAGCCGTACACCATTAGAAACCGAGCTGCTGTGGAGAAAAGACACAACATCACACAACTAATTACTGGTAGACTGGTAGATACATGTAGAATCATGTAGATACCAATATTGATTGACGGTGCTTCTACAAGCGGACTTACGTACTGGGCCAGGTTGAATCAATGTTTGACTCGGTTGTTTGACTTGCCAATGTTTGCCACCAACGGCTCAAGGCACTTGCGTGCAGCGGGAGACCCAGAGTGCCTTCCTGTTGCAGAAGATGTTTGCAGTTGCGCAAGTGGTCCAAGTTGAGGTGCTTCATTTGCGACCCCCCTTTCCAATGGGTATCGCATTGTCACGCTCTCAACCTGTCAACATGTGGTTTTCACAACTTCTTGCGTGTCGTGTATTGTTAACTCAGGAGATCGCCTGTGGCACTGGAGAGCCCGCTGGACACGAGCAATGATTTCTCGCTGGGTCCTGCCTTTCAGGCACATGCTGCCGAGACGCTCAGATTCGCTGAAATAAGCTGCAAACACCACCAGACAATCACAGAATCTTGCGTTGAGTCAACGGTCAGTGCGCATGGACAAACTCTGGTTCGCGGCATCATGCTGCATGCTGCTGGAGTTCTGAGGCAGCACAACTTTCACGCTTCGTCGACTCAGAGGTCAGACACCAGGGCATGTTGGCCATTCTAGGTGATGTTTCTATCAGCTTGCTTGAAGGAAATTGAAAGAGAGCGGGTGTGCTTGGGAGAGCACACACTAGATTTTTAAAATTCTATAATCATCTTTCATTGGAGAGAGCCTGCTTTCAAAATTTAACAAAAACATTATAACGACGGCCCGAAACTAAGAATGACTTTTGTGCCATTCCGTTTCCAAAAAAATAAAACTCCTAAAAATCATGTTTGATAGATTTTGGCTATAAAACACCGCTCCTGTGCAGGAAAATAAACTTAGCATGCCCCAAAAGTGGCGCATTCTAAGTTCTAGGGGTGTTTTGAAAAAAAGTAAAAAACACCAATTTTTTTAAGCGGCCCAAACAACTTAGAAGCAGTGCAACACAACCATCATTTGCAAACAAGTGCGACTGGGGCTTTGGATTTTGGAATGCCTCTGGGCAAAACTTGCGTGTTTTCAAAAACAGTAGGCAAACTTAGAATCACCAGTCAGTGGCTACTTGAAATAACTATGTTTTGAGCTGGTTCCTTTCATTTCCCTTGACTTTGGTCGATGTTTTGAAGAGCAAAGAAAGGAAACCAAAAGGAACATGAAAACAACATGGAGTAAAATGAAAAGAAACTCAAATAAATTCAATAATCATGTCTTTCACTCTTAAAGCACTATTTTAGGCCATTCCTTTTAGGTTGGAGGCCATCGCTAGTAGATTGCAGGCCATCTCTTCTAGGTTGGAGGCCATCTCTTCTAGGTTGGAGGCCACCGCTAGTAGATTGGAGGCCATTGCTTCTAGGTTGAAGGCCATCGCT